GATGAATAAAATGATTAATATTTAATAAAGCAACTGCTCAAGATGGTAAAAAATGTGGAGTAGAATGAGGTTTGATTAAAATTGAAGAGTAGGAATAAAAGCTTCCAAATTTTTAGTTCAGAAGGAATAAAAGCTTCCTAGATGCGCTTTATGCATACATATTATGGATATAAACATATATGTTTGCTACTTATTTAGATCCTGGCATACAATTTTGTATAAACTTTAATACTTACATGGTGTAGTATTTGCTGAACAAGAAGATGATCATATGATGATCATGATGATAATGATGATCATGATGGTTATGATGATCATGTTGATCATAATGGTGTTTATATATGCATATATATATACAAAATATAACATGAATTTTGAATAAAAAAAATATACTTCAGAATGTATAAATGTTTATGTAGTCGGGGTCACAAACCTGGCCCCAGCTATATTTTATTAAACTCGGTCCCGGCCCTGGTCAAATATCAACCCTGGTCGCTTACTATTATGTATTGTGACATGGAAAAATTTCACAGAAAAAACAAATTTAAGTCTTTCATTTGTTTTACATTCTTCTAAACTTATTCTAAGGGTTTGACACCTGTCTCTATTATATTTTGACTATTGTGCTTTCTTGAAATCGATTTTTTAACATCCGTGTATCTGTAAAAATCAAGCATATATATCTGCTCAGGGCTGTTATCTTTACAGGGCTATCAATCTTTCATCTATTTATATTTCTTTTGTTAGGAGCCTTTGATCTTAAGGACAAATCTCTCAAGTTTTTGTCATTTCAAGTTGTTATGGTGGTATTTATAATATGGGTAACATTTAATGTAATTTCAAATGTTGTGCAAAATAAAATGTGATAGTTTTCCTGGTTTGCTTAAAAACTTTGTACATGATTTTGTGATTTTGTTATCATGTTTTAATGTGATAAAACAAATAAAATGAGGAAAATAAGAAAATAAACATCTTTTAATGTGATAAAAAAATAAAATCATTTGAAAATTTAATTTTTGAAAGTTTAATATTTTAAATTCAATTTATTTAGAATTACTCAGTTGGAATGGCTATAATCAAGAGTTGTTATGAATAAGCAATTATAAGAAAACTAGCTGAACATAACTAGAAATGAAAATTTGAAATAATTTTACAATGCAACATAAAATCTTTGATTCTATGTTTATATAATCTTGATGTGGTCATCATTGTCATCAATTCATCTTCAGTTATCAAATCTTTTGGAATTAAATATTCAAAAAAAAAAAAAAAAAAGATTATCAAGTTAGTTTATCTGTATATTTTAAAATTCTTTAGTCCCTTATTAATTTACCAGAAAAAAATTTAAATTGCTAAATGTTAATATGCTATCTTTTCTATATGCTGCTTTGGTAATCACTAAATGTTATATGTTATTTCTACTATTCTTGGAGTCGGAGGTCACGTGACAAATCGAATTTTTATAGCTACCATTATGGATTAGGGAAAACAAACTGCTAAAGCACCGTAAAAACAACAAGATTAATATTATTTGGCTAATTTGCAAATTTAAACTCATTCAAATTAATTTACAAATGTTGATTCCTTCAAAAGTATATATTTTAAATGATTTTCTGTTTTATTTATAAATTACATGATACCCTGTAAAAAATTGTTAATTTTATTTTTTAAGTTTATTATGAAAAAATATTTCAAGTGTAATTTCAAATAAAATTAAACAAATAAACTACTTTAAACCCAAAACAAAAAATAAAAATTGAAAATACAAAAAGAAAACATCCTATAAACTACTTTTATTATTCCTGTTTGTATGTTGTTTTTTTCTATTTAAAATTCATGTATTTTTCTTAAACTGATAAAAAAATTTTATAAACTGGTTAAAATAAAAAAGTTTTGAGACATAAAAGTGTAGACATAAGAGATACAAAAATGTAGTAAATGAAATAAAACATATAACTTAAATTTTAAAATGTTTTTTAAAAGACTTAATTTTTTTTTAAGTATCCAATTATAGCAAGTTATTTGTTTACATCTTTTTATGGTTCAAAATATGCAATTGAATCACTAAGCCTACAATGATAAAATTAAAAATGAATTCCATGAAAAAGACATAGTTGATTAGCTATTTGATATCTGTAACTATTCCAAAAATATAACATAAAGATTTACTTTAAAATCTTAAAATGTTCTGGCAAGTTTTAGGTAGTGAATTTGCAGTAAACCTTTATAGTTTTACTGTTGATGGGAGTTTTGCCATAGTGGACCATAAGCGGCAATTGCTATAAGTAGTCAGCCAATAAATTTCCAACGTGATTTTTTGAGTAGTATTACTTTTAGCTATATGCTGAAACATGTTTCTTGTACTGACTGTAGCATTTAGCTCTTCCTTATGAGATTCCATAAAGATTTTAAAGCATGTTAGTGTAAGAAACTTTGTCTTGAAAACTTCCAAATAGCTAATTGCTTACTCTTAGTAGTGTTACATATATAAGCAAGGATTTTAAAAGTAGGTTTTTTTTAATTTTATCAATGTCAACAATATTTCATCATTTAAGGCTAACTTGTAACAATAATTTTTTCATCGTCACTTAAATAATCCATCATTACTAACAAATTTTTTTCAGCATCTTAATTGTAAATAAAGCACATATGTTCTCGTCTCCAAATATTAATTTAAGTTTTTCACATATTACTTTTAAACTATCCATTTCCTCACAAAAGCTTTCTCTTTCTAACAATGTAACTGGTGTTAGTGATAATATCAAAGCTGATATCAAAGAATATGCAGCTAAGAGGTGTAATGTTGTTTCGAGGTGTTAATGAGCTTTAGAAGCATAAAAAATCTGTTGGTTCACCTTCCAACTCATCTTTTGCATTGAAATCATTTTATAATTCAATCGTTATTGTTAAAGCTAAAAATTATTAAGTAAAAAAATTATTTGATGCAATTTTAATATTCATTCTTGAGATATATTGATTTTAATTTATAAACAAATATGATAGCCATTGGATAGCCATTGAATCTTTTTCAGGGAATTAAAAAAATATAAAAAAGAGTGTATAAGTTAAAATAAAAAAAATAAAGCAATATTTTAAAAGAATATTTACTATAATCTAAATAATTTAAAATTATCAAGGAATTGCTAATTTTATAAAATTTAACATAAAATCCTTGTATTTAAATGATTTAAATATAATTACAACTTTAATTTAGTAAAGCAAATAAAAGATGATTAAACACAGTATATCATAATAATATTATTATGATATACTGTTATATAACTGTTACACATTGTTGTTATTATTAACAGCAATAAATAATAGTTCGTATATTTTTTATATAACTTTTATGCAGATTTTATCTGTTGTTTTCTTTATTTTTTTATTTTAATGACCAAAAAAAATAAAGTATGTGTAGTGAAAAAAATATACACTCATAATATACAATATAATATATATACAAATATAATAACAATATAATATATATACAAATATAAACAAATATAAAGTATAATTGTGGAGTGTATTAAAGTATAAATGTAGTGTGTGGAAAAAATATAAAATTTACAATAATTAAACTATGTTGTGTAAATCTAACTTGTTTAGTAACTAATTTTTGCCTTATTTTATATCTGTCAAGCCCAGTATATTTAAAAGATGATGATTGTTTTACCTAATACTATTATTATTCTTACTTTAGAAAAATTATTAAAAAAATTCGTTATTTATTATTTTGATGAATTACTAAAACTAAAACCCACCAGACAAATATATTTGTAAACAGACATAATGATACTATATTTTAAGAGAATATGATTTTGATTTGATAACTAGTAATTATCAAATCAAAATTATCACAAAGTATCATTATTTCTGTATTCTAATAATATTAATAATAATAATAGTAATAATAGTAATAATAATAATAATAATAATAATAGTAATAATAATACAATAATAATAATAGCAATAATAACAATTTAAAGAGTTAATAATAATAACAATTTAAAGAGTTAAAATTTTACATACTTCCATATGAAGATATTAGATGGAGTAGTTAAACTACTCAATTTTTGTCAACATGCGGACGATTTATTACCTTTAACTATACTATCCTTCTAACATCTTAATATGGAAGTATGTAAAATCTTAACTTTGTGAATTATTATTATTTGAAACAAGAAAACACACAGCAACTTCGAGGATTATTCATGTATATATGTATATATGTTCGAGGATTATTATGAATATATATGTTCCGGAATCGATAAAATTATTTCTTTTCCCTAATCCATAATGGTAGACTTATTTTCCGATATTTGTGACGTAGCTCCGACCCGAAGGAAATGCTGCTCTGGTAAACATTTCATAATTTAACCAAACTTTTTCCAATGAATAAATAAAGATAACAATTTTATGTTAAATGTTGAAGAAATAGTTAAAAATAAAAATAATCACTAAAATTTTAAATGCGCCCATGACACCCGGCATGAATAGGGTGTACAAATATGTGTCCAAAGGAATGATATTTAAAAATGTATTTGGATTTAATTATGTTACTTTTCTATCAAGATATTTTAGTTGGCTTTTTTTTTTTTTTTTTTGGTCTTAAGATAACATCTAAATAAAAAACATTCTTTACTAATTCTTACTTATTAATAAGGTAAAAAAAAAAGAATTTCCGAAAAACTTACTTCCGAAAAAGAAAAAAAATTATTTAATTTAAATGAATTACCGCTGTTTTAAAGCACAAAGTTATTTTTATACACTTATTTTTAAAACAAATGGTTTTGTTAATATTTTTTAAGTTTATGGTTATAGTTATTAAAATAATACTATTGTTATTAGATTGTATAAAATACTTTATTAAGAATTTTTATAACCTATATTCATTTCAACAATTTTTTCAAAAGTTTGAGAAATATATATTTTTATTTAGATATTATTTACTTTATTTTGTATTTTACTAAGATGTCATTTATTTTTTTAATTTTATTTAGATACGTTATATCAGACAACCGTGTTTTGTTTCAGCTTGAAGATGGTAGCCAAGCATTTGAAATAAAAGATTACCTAACATCATTAAATACTTGTGAGAGTGTATCATTTGAAAATTTGAATTTTCCCGGAAAAGGAGCCGGCAAAACAAAACTCGAGCTGTGACAAGCAATATTTTGTATAAATTTTTTAAAAGTTTAGCCTTTCTAAAAACAGTTTCAAATTATTGTTGAGTTTATATATCCTATTTAATTAACCTTTATAAGATAAAATATTTCAACGATGTATTATTCTTGTTTAGGATTAGGGGGGAGTAGGTTAATGGCTGGGCAATTCCGGACATGGTCAAAACGGCGTAATAGAATTAAGGTATTTGAAGATTTCTTTAAAAATGCTGAAAGGGGGTTCCATGCTCAGTTCCAGACGTGCAGTAGTAACCTTAACTTTTTCTGATTGTTTCGTGCAATTTTTTTCCTTGAGAAGCATTTTTGTTGTAGCTACTATGGATATAAAACCACTCCTTTTGTTGTTGTTGTTGTTGTTGCATAGTATCATAATGAAGGAGTTTTTATATTTTATATAAAAACACGTATTATATTTTAGGTATGTTAATATAACCTCAATAGATCAATTGTATTTCAATTGTTTGTGTCCGTGGTATAAAAACGAGCAATCTTAGTGGATTGTGATTTAGTGGGGTAATTTTCGAACGTCTAAATCTAAGAGGGCCCTGCGGAGATATACAAATTTTACTCATGAATAATATGACTGGTAATAATTATATGATTATTACTAATTTTTGTTTTATCAAATACATTTTATGAATTTATAATTTTTCACGTATCTCTATGGGCATTTTTGAAGAAAAAATTTAAGGAGGGCCTCTTTACTTTTTTGGCGTGGGGCACCAAATTTGTAGTTACGCCACTGGTTCCAATATTATCTATGTAAATAATTTGCTTTTTTTTTTTAAAAAAAAAAAAAAGCATGTTTAAGAAAGAAAAATTCCACCATTATTACAAGAATAAACAAGAAGTGAATAATACTGCTCGTAAAAGTAAAAAGAGAGAGAAGAACTTTAATGAATAAAAGATTTATCATCATTTAAAGAAAAAAAAAGCGCCCGAGGTGTAATATAAAAATTTGTTGTTTAATTCGCAAAGAAAAGTATCATGATCCGCCCACAGATTATTGGATAATGTCATAAATGCAAGTCTTGGTTGCACAAAAAGTTTATAATTGGTAAAAGTATGTGCTGGGGTTCTGTTTGTGATATTTGTTTGCAAATTTTTTTAATTTTAATAATTTCAAAATTAATGATTAATTTTAAAAGACTTGCATTAAGTTGCGATGAAAAGGTCATGATCTCCCCATGGAAGACTGGATTATGTGTTACAATCGTAAGGCCTGGCGAAAACTAACATATCCTAAAATTTTATCTGCGATTTTTGGTCTTAATTATTATAATAAACATTTTATTTGTTATTTCACGACATTTTTTGTGATTACTCTTCGGTGGATTCGGAATTACCTCAAGTACGCAGAGTAATTCCGAACACCAATGGTTTTATTTGTGCCCTAAATTTTTATCTTATAATAAGATTTATAAAAAAATGCTTTTTAGGGTTTGTGACCTAATTGTTAGACTAAAAGATAAGCATTAAATATGATCCATTTCAAATAACTGGTGTCTTTTGTTTCCTACAGATTTATATTCACTTAATTTGTCATGAGTACTATAATATGGTCAAAAAGAGCAATGTATTCAAATAAAGTTTATATTAATTACTAGACGATTATTTGTCTGACTTTTTTTTCCCTTGAATTTTTAGAAAGTCAGTCGAGAAAAATTTGATTTTTGCGCTAAGAGGCTGTTCAAATAATACGTGACAGTCTTAAGGGGGAAGGGGGTATTGCAAAGTGTCACTAAGTATCACATGGGGGAGGGTTGATGGTTTGCTACAGTGTGACGTGATAAATAACATTTTTAATTAAATTTTTTATCACTGCGTAATTTGTTAAAATTGAAAACTTGGAGATATAATACTTAAAATTTCATGAAAAATTATATGCAACGACTTTACAAGTGGCTAGCGTTTATTTTTAACTGAGTCATAACAAATAAAAATAAAAAAATTAAATTTGTTTTTTTACACGTTCACCTTAATAAGAGCACAAAATTCTGAGCACAAGTATCATGCGGACGCAAAATTTGCCAAATCACCCATTAGTGCCCTTAAAGAACTTGCGGCAGTCTTGAATCCTAAAGAAGTGACGTCTCACTTCCAGGATGAAAAGCCAGGGTGCCAATTGGATTAACAGCTGCAAACAACCTACAATGATGATGCATATGGAGTACATGGTGACTTTAACTGATCATAATTTTGTAATTGCCCTTTAACACAAACTTATTCCTTCAGTAATTGTGACCATAGAAATTAAAATAGATTGCATGAAAAAACACGCTGTCACATACTCTAGCCCAACATACATAACAATAAGAAGTGCAAAACATGATTTACCAACAGCACCTAGTCGCTTAGAAGACTCGAACAGAATAAACCATCTTCCTGCATTTAAAAGCAGCTTATTTACTGAAGATGGAGTAAGCAAACCAGTCATGATTATAACTCTTTACAGAAGTGCCTTTAAAAGGGTAGAGAGAAGAATGGCTACGCTAACCCACGAACTAGCAGGAGTTATACTTCCATATGATCTTTTTGGAAACCATTTTAATTCAAGAGGAGAAACAACAAACAAAGTTATGGAGAATGCAAATTTTGCCAAAGCTGGTGAAGTTCTTGCACAAATTTGGTCTAGCACAGTCATTGATGGATTTGAAACTAAAGCTGAGTACATTAAAACAAACAGTAAAAAATGTGTACAGATAAAGTATTTTAGAGCAGAGTGGGATGCTAAATATGTCAGAGAAAGTTAATACCTCCTTTAAATTTTAAAATGTAATGATCAAAACTGCTGTGGTCATCTTTGCAGCTCACTGTTTCATTTTTTTCCAATTGGTTTTCTTCCACCACCAATTTCTTTGTTCCAAGGATAAAATGGTCTTGAATGCAATAATACAAAGAACAACTTTGCATTTCTCCTTTTAAACTTATCACCTTGCGAAACAATTTCGCCCACGACAGTTACAAAAAAGTATCCCAATGGATTGCCATACGTCTACTCATGTCCGATCATTAAAAATTTCTTTTTTACTAAGAATATTTTCTATATAAAAATATTTTGCCACTATTAAATCAATGAAAAAACACAAAGGCAAGTGCGCTACCACGCAGTGGTAGCGCACTTGCCTCAGAAACGTAAGACCCGTGGTTCAAACCCCACCTCTGGGCAAGTTTTGCGACATTGGTTGGGAAGGAGGCGTGAACTTCCCATTAAATGCTCTTCCGCGGTGCTCTGTGATAAGACCGTAAGGACTTCTTGGGGCACCTTAATCAACTTAAAAAAAAACAAAAAAAAAAAACAGTTTGCTCAAGTGAATGAGATTTAAAAAATTACACCTCACTACTTTGTTGCATAATTTCATTCTGAACTCATGTGTGTCTTTTTGAATTTGAACTAAGAAAAAATTGAGTGATATGATTAGGACGATGTTGATATCTCTTACCTCAACTGGCCTTTAAAAATTGTTAAAGAACATAGAAGGTCAAAGTCTGATTTGGAAACAAATTTAGGTTTTAGACAGATATTCATCAATTGTATTTTTTAAAAACAATTAGCTATTACAAATAAAATGTACACTTGAAAATTTTTTTTTGCCTTTGTCAGGTCACACAGGGGGGAAGAAGGGGTTCTTCAAAATTCCATCAAAATGTCACATAGATGAGGGGGTAGGGGATATAAAAACGGCAAAAAATCACGTATTATTTGAACTGCCCCTTATGCAATTTATCATCTATCGGAACAAATATGTTCCTGCGGCTTTTTTTTTATCTTAATAAAATACCGTAAAGTTTCGTGGGGTTTTATTTAAAAATTGATTCAGAATATGAAAAACAAAAAGGATAATTTAGAGTAAGCTTTTAAAATAGTTTGTGATTTATTTTTTATTAAATCATTGAAGAATTACCAAAAAGAATCTCTCAGCATTGGCATAGATTGTTTTGTTTGCCAACTACAGGCAGTAGAAAATCTATTTTGTTCCAACGTTTACCCTTTTTTACCTTCATTTTAAACTTATTAAGAGAAGGACAAGTACCTGATATAGAGTATTCGACATAAGTATGTACTTAAGTTGTACAATACAATTTTAGTTGTTTCTCCGCTTTTGAGTTTAATGAAAGATCGAGAAAGTATTCTTAGTAAAAAAGGAATCAAAATTGCTTTTATGATGCATAATAAGCAAAGGAAAAAAATATGAAAGTTGATTAAACAGAGGTAATAATAATCATTATTATAAATTATTTTAGTTAATATATAAAGTTTTGCATTTCTATAGAGGTCTAGTTTTTGCTGGGACTTACCCTGAGAAATTATACATTTTTTTCTGAAATGTTGTTTATAAATTTTGGAATTTTGATTTCAATTTTCTGTAGAAAACGTAAATTTTTTTAAATGAATGTGAAATAATTAATCGTTTATTTAGAAATTTTTAATTTAAAACGCATTCAGCATTCATTATGATATTTCATTAGAAATTTTAAAAGCTTTAAGCATTTATTATGAAATATTATATTATTCTGATATTAAATTTAGACATGTCTCAAGTAATTTTTTTTTAAAACTGTGAAGTGTTGTTTATTGTTTAAAAGTATATACTTTTTTAGATAAATTACAATGAAGCAAATGTAATATTTTGTGCACCTTTCATGTAAGCTCAGGTTATTGTGCTACTGGTAACATGTAACCCAGTACAATCTGCTTTATGTCCTGTTGCATTTTAGGATACACTTTTTTAGGCAAAGACTAGGAGAAGCCAACTCCGACTTAAATCACCCTCTGTCTTAGGGCTCTTGGTTGAGTAAAGGCTAGAAATGGTGTCTCGATAAAAATACTCATCTTGGACAGATATTAAATGCATCTGGTTACTGTCTTGTAGAAAGCCTCCTAGACAAACACTTAAAGAGTAAATAGATTCTATTTGTTAATCACCTTCGCATCCCTTCCTTATCTATTAGGCTGGCGGAGATGTTTTATAATACATTATTTCCAGTTAAGGATATTGAATGCTGGATCTTCTTGATTTAATGCATGGGTTTTGCTCGTGTATCTGTTTTTAAGACTAGGCAATTCATTCTATTATCTCCTAATGAGGGTACAGCTCTAAAACTCAGTTTTACGGTTCTGAGGCCAGCTGGTAGTTATGTTTCTCAAACTCTATGGTAGCTCCCAGAGAGGCTGATTCCATCAACAGCTGAAAAATATCAAAGTACTAACAATGCCATGTTGCGCATGGATGGTGTTCCTGTTTATACTTTAGGTGTACATTGTAAAGGCCACATTTGGAGCCCTTTGTTACGACTTAGGGTTTATTAACAGTAATGAGGTAATTACTTAGGCTATTAAACAG